CTGCAGATAAGATAAGGGTTATCCCTTATCACTTAAAGGGACTTCTAATCCAAATATGATTTGGATTAGCAACTCCTAATGGGATTAGGAGCTGATCCCTTTAAGATTATGAAAGAAAGAAAGGGGCGATACACAGTTAGTGATTGATGTCCAATTCTCTTCAGAGCTGAAGATCACAAGAAGAGAGATTTCTACACCCTGCGAATTCTCTCTTGCCGCCTCCTTCCTGCCGCCGCCATCACCTTCAGTTCGATCTCCAGTTCTTGGGAGAAATCAAGATCTGATCTTGATTCCAATCTTTTGGGAAAARRTTGGTTGGARYTGTACTCACAWGYCGTCCAGTTGATTCTTGTGAAGGGTCAAGTTCTTTTGGAAGAACATTGTTGATTCTGCTCCATCCTGCACTGCGCCATCTTCAGTGGGAGCAAGTTTTGGATCCTTCCTTGGGCGTGAACACCTCCATTGGGAGATATTGCTTCTCTGTATCAGGTACATCCTCCTTCCTACTCCTTTTGGTTCAGATCTGGTTTGGTTCTTGATTCAAGATTGATCCTTGAAAAACATGTTTTTTCAAATATAGGGAATTCGATTCCCTGCAAAGATGGGAGAAATTTTTGAAATTCGCCCTATCCATTCCGCAAGACTTGGGCGTCCATGTGATGGATATCCCATCCCTTCAGTTATTACTAAATTCAAATTACTATTTATGGAAAATTTTGGACCTAGTAGTTATAATAACTCTCATAATTACTATTTTAGTATTTACCAATTTTGTCATTGTCTCTTACTACAAAGCCCATGTAAAATATCAATATATTAGGGCGATATTAACCAATTTCCATCTTTTGTTATTTTCTATTTACTGCTCAAAGTAATCAATAATCAGATGGTAATAGCATGAATTCCATATACAAATTCAATAAACAGACAAGGGATCAAGTACTAACCTGATACATTCCGCCTTGATACTTCTTGAGCACAACGGCTGCGTTCTCCTACACTAGAACCYCCAACAATGGCACCGAAAACAGCTCCTCCATCTGCCTAAAGTTCATAAAGTAGACTAATTTTAAGTTCTAAAGGATAAGTAGTGCGCACAAGAAGAAAGCAAGACAGTACACAAGGTATGAGATTTATCATGCTATGTACTTCAAGATTCCCTGTCCTTATTTATAGTTTTTGTCCTTATATTTGTTTTTAAAATTCTACTGTTGTTGGGGGAAAACACTAATGAGTTTATACCTAATTAATCAAATATCAAGAAACAGCTGGAACCAAGGTATGGAGGTTGAAGAGAGAGGTTTCGTGGAGAAAACAAAATGGAGGTCATCTCTGAGGGTAGAGGCTAAAGATCTCCTCTTTGAAGAAATATGGATTAAAGTTAGACTTAGTCTGAAAATAAGAGAACAGAAGATGGCCACAGTTCTTGTGGAAGGCTCAGAGATGATCGACTGGTTGAAAGAGTTTGTTTCTGATGCAGCAGCTAAAGGGAAGCAGCATAGTTGTCAATGCGACGCCTAGGCGACAAGGCGCCCTTTGAGGCTCACCTCGCCTAATCGCCTAGCAGTTTTCTACTTCCTACTATAAAATACTATTTTATTCATTCTTTTCTGAGATTATAATTATAAAATAGACATTATTAAAATAAAATAATCATTTTGTGTGTTTATATACTAATTTCTTTTTATTATTTTCTTATTTATTAGGGTTTAATCAACACAAACATTGCTAAATGCTGTATTGAACCCTCAAAGACTTAAAAACCTGAATCAAATAAGGAAGAACTTAAAATTTTATCTAATCAGCACGTTTTCCTCTTCTTCTTCTTCCTCTTCTTCTTCTACCAATACTTTTTATTTTCTTCTTTTCCTATAACAAAAATAAGGATTCAGCCCCTATATTTTTTGAATTTTACTTTCCTTCTTCCTTTTGTTCTCATGAATATGTTGATTTTCTATACTTTAATATGAAATTTATACGTTTCTTATGAAAATCTTGAATAATTATTAAAGAAATATGGTTAAGGTACCTAGGGAACTACCCTAGGATCTATGTTTTTAACATAAAAAATCCATCGCCTAGGCGCCCCCCAGTCGCCTAGCCTCGCCTTGGCACCTTGAAAACTATGGGAAACAGATAAAATTAGAAAGAAAATTTCTTRGAGACAAGTAGGAGGTATGTGATGGAAAACAAGAGGAATGCAAAAGGTGCATTCATCTCTTACTGAATATTCCTCTAAAAGAAGGAAGCAAATGGTTTGTTTCCCTCAAGGGGAAAATAATCAAGGATGGATAGGGATAGCTGGTATACTAACAAATTTCCTAAATAGAAGGGAGATGGAGAAAAAAGAGTTGATGGAAATTGATGAAAGTGAACAAAGCCCGGTAGTTACTAGTTAGTAGCAAGATCCTGTGTAAGGAAGAGGAACCAAAAAAGAAATTCTTGGCCATGGCAAACAATAGTAGGAATCCTTCCTTGGTAGCAGATGGGACAACAGGAAAATGAGGAAGAATGCTAGTGATTGATGCTGGAGAGTTGGTAACAAATTGGTGGAAAGTTGCAGAACTGTTGAAGTTCAAACTGGGGCTAAGGAGCACCTTTATTTTAACTCCATTTGATCTTGCTAAGGCAGTGCTGGACCCTCTTGAAAACCAGGTAAATGTTAAAGCTTTATGTATTTAAGATGCTCTGGGGACCTTCTCAATCTTTAAATGGTCTTCATCTTCCAATTCAAAGATCTTCTCAGTGGAAGATAATGTTACTTTCAAGTGATTGGTTTGCCATTCCATCTCTGGAATCGAGAACTCAATTGCTTTGTTGTGTGGTGCTCGCCTTGATGGTGTATTTTAGGGAGACTTGCGAAGTGCAGCCCTTCTACTGGGTGGAGTAAAACCATAAGATATATCGAGGAAGGTGACCGTTGCTATGGATGGATTTCTTTTACCAATCTGGTTAGTGTCTTCCATTGAAGCTACCCTTTGGAGGGAGGCCAGACAGGAGGAAGATGAAAAGGTCGAGGAAATGGAGCTACGTGGCAGATTGGAGCTGGTTAAACAGAAGAAACTGGGAAATTTCACCAAAATGGAAACACAACCTTTAAGCAACCCAAAAGATTTGGGTTAGGAGATTTGTAGAAAACGTGAGATACAAGGTAAGGGTATGATAACCAACAGGACATTTGCTCAGGTAGTAGCTTCTGGTGCCAAGCAAGATAATTTGAACGGCTTAAGTGAGGGGAAGGGCCCGCTGGTAGTACAAACTGAACCACAAATTGGGGGAGGTAAACCATCAGGTCAGGCTGGAATCTTGTTAGAATCAAGAAACCTTATGGTGGCTGACCCAGAAGGCCCCAGTTCAAATTCAAATTCTACTCCTGGGCCCAGTAGACCCAAATCTAAGTTAAGTAGGCCAAAATTAATTGACCCAGGGCTTAAGTTGGCATGTGAGGACATAAAGGAGAACATGACAGGGGAGCATCTCAGGTAGACAGTAAACAAGGTCTACCATCATCTTCCTCGAGCTCTTCCTTTCAATCGAACAACTCTGCAAAAGTCTTCAGCTCCTTACAGTGGATCCCATCGAAGAAGTTGGCTTGATCTTCACAGGATCGCCGTAATCCGAGTTGTGTGAAGCGCAGTGAGCTACACGACTTAGATTTGGAAATGTCGACAGATGACGAAGAGTTTTCTGATTCGGATTCAAAATCTGGAAAAACCTTCAGTCTAGGAAGTATTGACCTCCAAAAACCAAAAGATATCATGGAGGAGGGAAGCGTAAACACTAAACTTTTATTTCTAGAGGAGGAAATGGATCTGCAAGATTTTGGCAATGGCAAACAGCCGAGGAATTTGAGTCTCAATGGCGGCGAACAGATATCTTCCCTTCTAGGAATTCTATACAAAAAAACAAATGGTGTTGGAAACACTTGTAGAGGTCTGGCAGATTACATCTCCGCCAATAAACGAGTCTACTCCATTTGCACAGCCTATTCAGGATATCAGGCTAGAGAGATAGAAATAAAATCTTACGCCTCACCTAAGGATTCACATAAAGGGAAAGACTAGTGAGGTACCTTTGACTGCAAAGGGTGAAAAAGTCATGGTTGAACCTAGTTTACTTCCACAACTGAGTCAGGAACAAGGAATGGGTCTGGTCTTGACTTCAACAGTTGATACCCAACATTTGGTCCCATTGCAATCACCTTTGTTACCTTGTCCATTTGCTTTTAGATACTAATATGGGTTCTATGTCTGTAACGGATATCCTGGAATCTCAACCAAAACAACCAAGTGGCAGCAGGGAAGTGATGAATGAGAGTGCTGGAAGTTGAACTGAGAAAGGGGATTGTTTAGTAGAAAGGAAACAGGAGGAACTGGAACGGATTTTGGAGCAGATTTGTACACTGTTGGAGGAATATAAACAGAAAGAGGAAATGATAGAGGAGGCCCCAAAAAAATTTGAATCAGATGCAAGCCCCAACGGACTGGGGCAGGAAACAGGAAATAAAGGGCCACCTAGGAAGTCCATGGGCAACAAGGGTAGGAAAAAGAAGAAGAAATCTGAAGTAGAGAGACTAATTTTGGACATTGAAGGGGATATTGAATTCAATGGAAGAGCGGAAAGGAAAAAGGCTTCTAAATAAGGGGAAGATAGTGTCTTGGAGGGCTTAAATCAAGAAGGTTAGTGAAGATAATCAATTGGAATGTGAGGGGTTTGGGCAGTACTAGAAAAAGGAGACTGATTAAGGAGTTACTTCGGAGAGAAAGACCTGATATTGTGATTCTATACGAGACCAAACTAGCTGAACTGGATAGGAGGTGGAGCAAAGGAGATTTGGAAAGTAAGAACTGGATAGATGGTGTTCAAACCCATATTCTTGATTGTATCCTTGGGCAACTAACCAAACCTTATATCGATCAAGGGAACCATCCAATTTTAGTTTGATCGTGTAGACCAAACAACTCCCAACAATGAAAACATCTGGAGGAGCAGGCACAAGATCCCAAGTATCATTCTCATGGAAGGATTGAATCTCGGCATCCATGGCTTCTTTCCAATGAGAACTCCTAATGGCTTGTTGATAAGAACGAGGAATATCTGTGGAATAAAGTACAACAGAAAATGAGCTATGGCTTGAAGGAAAACCATAGTGGTCAGGAGGCTGAGAAATACAAGTAGAACAACAAAGTGGAATAGGAGAACTACCATCTGGAACAGAAGGATCTTGGGGTGAAATGTCACTTACAGGGGGTGCTGGAGGAGGATGCTTTGGACCGGGTGGAAGGGGGGTTGTAGGCACAGGATTTGGAACACATGGCCGCTTGCGAGTGAAGACAAGAAGATCTTTCTCAGTACAGAAAGTAAGAGTGTTATTTGAATCAAAGTCCTGCAAAACAGAGATAAAAGGAGCAGACAATCTAGCAATTCCAACAAAGAAGGAAATATATTCAAGAAACACAACATTCTGTGAAATCCGAATACAACGAATAACAGGGCCATAACACAAGAATCCTTTGTGGCCAGGACTAAATCCCACAAAGGCACACATAGCAGACTGAGCAGTTAATTTGGAACGTTCATGAACAAGATGTACAAAACAAAGACAACCAAAAACATGAAGACTAGAGAAGTCTAGGAACGACCAAAAAGTTTTTGAAAGGGAGAAGTGTTGCCAAGAACAAAAGAAGGAAGGTAGTTGATCAAATACACAATTGTACTGGCTGCTTCTACCCAAAATGAAGTCGGAGCATGAGATTCCTATAGTAATGTCCGCACAAGACTAAGGATATATCCATTATTACGTTCAGCTACACCATTCTATTGAGGAGTGTCTGGACAATTGCACTGAGATTGAATTCCATAACTCCTCAAGTAGGCCTAAAAGTCTCTGTATCTATATTCTCCCCCTAAATCTGAACGGAAGATGCTCACATTACACTTTAAGCGAGTTCACACCATAGTATGGAATAATTTAAATGTCGCAAAGACCTCTGATTTGTGTCGTAAAAAATAAATCCAAGTGTATCTGGTACAATCATCTATAA